GAGCCTATTTCAGTGAGCTTTGTGCGCTGTGTTAAATAAACATTTGCTGGTTAAAAAGAAAAAAAAGGGGGGTGGAGCATATACCCAATAGGCCACTCAGAGGATGCATAGCAACAATATGAAGACATCAGTAAATATTCTGTGACCATTTAAAGATAGATCATTTAAAGGGAGCCAGTTTAACTACTGCTTCCAACTTTGTGTCTAATGCTTTGGCTGTAATACTTAAGTCTCATCCTTTTACATTCAACCTCTGATTTCCCCCAGGCAGCCCTTAATTAAACTCCTGGCCTTAGGGGACATCTGTTCTTCCTTGTCAGTCTCCAAGGATATCCTCAAAGATTCAGGGTGGCTCTACTTTTTACAAAGCTCACACAATAAGCTCTGATATGACCCCAAAGTTTAAAGTCTCTTTAATTAGCAAGCCTCCTTTACAGTTTTGAAGGATAAAAGTACCCATAAGTGATAGTCTCAGCTTTTCTGTCTTTTCTCCTAATTTTGAGCAGTGCTGTATGTGACCTCCACTCCTAATCACTTTGGGTCAGACTCTGCCCCTTTCTTACTCCCATGGGAAAGTGGTATTTCCCCCTTGGTTTTTATTTCTCCCTCTAGATTTGTGACTTCCTGGAGACTTTGTTTTTCTGACACTATTATGCCCATGTTTGCATCATTTGAGATGACCCTGGCAAATCAGTCCGTGGATCATTTAAAATGTTAGCATATTTAAATGCCCTCATTACCCTGACATCCCTAAAATAATCTTTATGTCTCCAATAAAAATCGGGGCAGGTTTATAATATGCATTAACCTTTGAGAGGAACTTGCCCCCAACCCATTCTTCCAAGTCTGTGGTAAGCCTGTTTCTGGGAAAGGTAGTGGGTTTGGAAAATCATGGGTAGGAAAAAGTTGTAGGGATTGACGTAGAAAGAGAAGGAAACAGAAGTTGAAGTTAGCTCCAGTGTTGTGTGAACTCACATTCTTGTTTCATTTCCTCAATAAATATTTCTTGACAAACAAATGATGAAGAATTGCAGATATACAGATGGTTACTTAGACTTACCATGGTGATCACTCTGTAAGGTATACCAATGTTGAATCACTGTATTCTGCACCTGAAACTAATACATATTGTATACCAACTGTACTTTAATACATTTAAAAAAAGAATTGCAGATATGACTGTCAGTTAAGCAGGAGCAAGTCTATGATGCTAAGGTCTTTAAGAATTTGAAGATGTCCTCTGGCACTTACTGTAGCTAAAATAGGGGGGGAACATGGAGGCTGCCTTAATGCCTGTGATTGAACTTTATGCCCTTTCAGGACAGAGATGGGCCTGTTCCTCTTCAGACCTCCAGTATTTCCTGTTCNATCATTGCGCTCTTCCCGGGTGAGGCAAATCGGTTGCCAGCCACTGGATGGCTGCTCACAGTGGCTCTTCGCAGCTCACACTGGCTGCCGGCTGCTCACGCTGGTTGCCGGTCACACACACGGTAGCTTATGGCAGCCCACTGCAGCAGGGGCTGCAGCCTACACCGTCGCTGGCGACTCATGGCAGCCCAGCACCAGGTCGAGCTGTTGTTCACCATTTTAGCTGTAGAGGGCAGTGTCACTGGCCCTCATGTGGGATCCGAACCAGGGTCCTGCTGCTCAGAGCTGGCGTCCCAAGCCAGCTCTTAACCAACGCACCACTTGGCTGGCCCAGGGAGGGACTTTTTAAAAAGGAAAACTCTTAATCCCTTCAAAATCTGATAAAATTTGTCACAGTCTGATCATTTTTGTTTTATTTGCTTTATGCTTATGTTGGCCTGTGCTGCCAGTATCCACTGGTTAATGTATTCTTGGTCATTCATTCCATCATTTATTCAAGAAACATTTGTTGGGTACCCAGGAGGTGACAGGCATAGTATGAGTTGCTTGTGTCTATGAGGTGCTTGTGTTTGAACGGTGAGTTAGAAACAAACCCGATTGGCCTTCTCAGAGCCTACAGTAAATAGGGCTTCACCAGGAAGTATGAAAAGTGCTTCCTTAGGGTAAGATGGGCATTTGGGGAAAACAGAAGGAGGCCTGTCTCCCAGACTTTCAGTCAGGGAAGGCTTCTTGAGGAGCTGAGGGTGCTGCTGAAGACCTAAGGGATAAATAGTGATTAGCTTAGTGAAGGGAGTGGAATGGTGTCCAGTGATATAGGGCAGAGTGCTCCAGCCAAGAGATCCACATGTAGGAAGACCTGGTGAAGACGGCGGTCCTAGCGTGGAAAGGACTGCAACAAGTTCGGAGTGGCTGAAGCTCTGAGTATAAGGTGAGGCCTGAAGGGAAATGAAGTAGCAGAGAAAGGCTGAAAGGCAGAGCTGACCAGCCTCATGGAGCTGCTTGTGGAGGTTGATCTTTATTCTTAGGGAAATGGGAAAACATTTTAAAAAGAAAGTGACGTGAAAAAAATATATCAGCAAGGTCACTTTAGGACTAATATGTCCTTATTTTAACCTACTTTCTTTATGTTGTTGCATGCTTTATCACTGTTGGTGGACTGTGATCTCTCTGAGAGTCATCCTTGATCTTTTTCTTCACTATCTTCCCCACTGTCTGTGCAGTCTCCGTACCACACCCTGCACAGGCCAAGTAAGAACTCAGACGCTGCCAGTCAGGCAGTGTGTTTGCTTATTTGCATTGCTTTTATTACCCCATGAACAGAAGTGGGTCACCTCTCAGAGACTTGGTCTGCCTTCAGCATTGTTTCCTGCTCTTTGCTGCAGGGTGCCTGTCCTTGCTGGTGACGGTCCAGCACACAGAGCGCTATGTCACCCTGTTTGCCTCTGTCATCCTCAAATGTGACTACACCACCTCTGCCCAGCTTCAGGACGTGGTGGTGACATGGCGCTTCAAGTCCTTCTGCAAGGACCCCATCTTTGACTACTACTCTGCATGTGAGTGCCACCCCCATACCGGCTCTGCCCAGGTCCCTTTTTGAAGTATTGCCATTAGGGTGTAGGAATTAGTTAGGACCACAAATCCTTATAAATAAGAAGCCACAATGATCACTTCATAAACACACTGAACCCAGGAAGATGAAATAACTTGTTGAAGGCCACGTACTATTTTATTATTTATTTTAAAACTTACGTCCCACTTTGTTCTAAAAGGTTTAAGGCAGCTCAGACATTAAGTAAAAGGCAGAGCAAGTCCTTCGCCCTAGTCCGTTTCTGGTTGCATGCCAGCACACTGAGATGAGGATGGCAGATCTGCCTCCCATCACCCCCACCTTTAGAATGCACACAAGAAGACTCCTACACCCCACAGAACACACGAAGAATGGTCATTTGTGAACCTCCCGCCCACTGCCGTGTCCCCTTCTATGGCCAGCCTTCCTGGTGGACAGTCCTTCCTCCGCTGACTAAACACGCAGTGATGGAGAGCTCACTGCCCCCCAGGAAACACATTTGTTGTGGGACATCTCTTACAACAACTGTACAGCTCCCCGCTACATGTAGCCAAGTTCCACCTCTCAGTAACAACTGCCTCAGTCGTGTCAGTTCTGCTGCCTGGAACCAAAGCTCTTCCTTCCTGCCCATCTGTGCCTCTCTCAAGGAACCAAGGAACCCCAATCCCCACCATCAGCCCAGACAATTGAACTTGTGGAAATTTTGGAAATAGAATTAGACGCTCTGTTGGAAGGAAATGATATTCCAAGATGAGGAAAAGGAGGGGGAGGCACACTAGAAGATCCCACTGTAAATCAAGGCATTGCTTCCTGGAGGGTTACTCTTAAAATGCCCGGGTTAAGGGGGAAGGTAAGAGAGCCTAGGTGGTAGGCATTGGCCCCAGCTCATTTAACAGCTCTCAAACTTTGTATTGTAAGGGCAGGTGGATGAACCTCTGTGGGGAGCAGAATCGAGGGTGAGTGAAAATGAGACAAGGCAATTCGGGATGGGAGACAGGGGGATGCAGCCAGATTTTGGAAATGATGGCCTATTGGAGGGGTATGGAACCTTGCTGCTCAAAGTGTGGCTCATTGGTATCACCCGGAGCTCATTAGAAATGCAAAATCTGCTGCTCACTCCACACCTACAGAATCAGATTCCCAGGGGACACATGGGCTCAGAAGAAAGTGAAAAGCTTCACCGCTCCAGGGCACACTAAGGGCACCTTTCTTCATGGGACTTCCCCCTTTGCTGTGTGACTTGGGTATGTCCTCTTTCTTCAGCATACCAGGCCGCGTTGTCCCTGGGCCAGGACCCATCCAATGACTGCAATGACAGCCAGCGGGAGGTTCGAATCGTGGCCCAGAGGCGGGGGCAGAATGAGCCCGTGCTGGGGGCGGATTACCGGCAGCGCAAGATCACTATCCAGAACCGTGAGTGTTGGGGAGGCAGCAGGGAACCGAGGGTGGCAAAAGGTGCCGACACTAGGCGTGGCAGGCTGAGTCATCATGGGGATTTCCCTTTTTTTCTGCTGCCTGATGGTCTGCTGGGTCCCTGCCATTGTTGGAGGAAAAGTGCCCAATCCACGGAATGTGCCACATCATCTGAAGTCCCTGCCCCGGAAATTGGTCTCTGGGTGAGAGGGTGTCCTACAGTTTTGGCTAAAGGTCTGGGAGTGGGTGGCTTCCTTGGTTTCCCTAAGATTCAGGTGTGAACCAGGCTCCTTTGATCCCTTCCGTGAATTGCTCTTAGGGCCTGCTATAACCCCTGGCTCCTGAGTTTCCCTCTGGCCATCTAAGGAAGTAGAGGCTTTCAAGTAGATGGCCACCTTGAGACAGGCCCCCTTCATTGGTACAGAAAAGAGCATTGGGCTTAGACTCAAAAGACCTGGCTGAGTGTCCCATGGCTTCCACGCTGGCTTAGTGACCTGTAGCAGATTATTTTCTCTAGCCTCTGTTACCTCATCTGAAAGGTGGACATGATGGTCTCTGTCTCCCTACACTGAAGTGAATATCAAATGTGACATCTGAGAGCTATGTCTAAAACATATCTGTTCTTTGTGCCCAGTACAGGGAGTGGTGGTTAGAGCCCTCACTCAGCAATCAGACTCAGGTGTGGGTCCCAGTTCTGCACTTACAGGGTGTGTGAACTTGGGCAAGTCCCTTTGATTTTTTAGCCTCACTTTCTATAAAATGGAGCTTGCCATAGTACCTATCTCCTGGAGAGTTGTCAGAATTAAGTGAGATGATATGTATAAAGTGTGCAGTGAACTTTAGTAATGATCACTCAGCATACTATTTTTTTTTTTTAAGATTTTATTGGGGAATTGGTGGAGGAGAACAGTGTTGAGGAATTGGGGAAGGGGAACGAACAGCCAAGGTGTTGTCCTTCAATCTTAGTTGTGGAGGGCGCAACAAACTCAGCTCCAAGTCCCGTTGCGCCACTCAGCTCAAGGTGCTGTGTTCAATTAGTTGAGGGTGGGCGTAGCCACCATCCCATGCGAGAGTCGAACCGGCAGCCTTGTTATTAAGAGTGCACGCTCTATCCCCCGAGCCACCCAGGTGGCAGCTCAGCTCAAGGTGCCGAGTTCAGTCTTTAGTTGTGGGCAGGTGTAGCCCATCATCTCGAACAGGCAACCTTGTTGTTAGGAGCACATGCTCTCACCAGCTGAGCCATCCTGCCACTGTTGGTAGCTCAATGGCAGCTCAGCCCAGACGCAGCTCACTGGACCATGTGGGAATTGAACCGGCAACCTGTTGCTCAGAGCTTGCACTCTTGAGCAAGCTCTTAACCAACTGAGCCACTCGGCC